TTCATTTCTTTCATAATCACTCGAAGAAGAATGATTAAGCAAGTCGGTATTGGTTGACGATAGCTACTAGGTAGAAGTAAATATTCAAACAAGAAAAACATACGAAATGCGTCACAGCGATATGACAAACACGTAACGTAAGGTAACTCTCACGGATGGAAAAAATGATTCATCATATCTATTTGTTAATAGTTATCGTCTTTCAAAATAAAGTTAATTCGAGCGGATTGAAGTCTCTATATGACCATATTCATAATACAATATAAATATCTAGTACAGCTGACATGAGAATTCAGTTGAGTTTGGAATGTGCGAAATAATTTTAAAAAATTCTCTTAAAAAAAAGATTTTATAATAGGAATAAAGCTTCGTAAACAATGTGAAATAATTCATTTGGACAGAAGTGTACAAAATAGACTCACATTAAACACAACAATAAATAAATGTTTTCATTTTTTTGAATTTTTTCTATTTTACTAATAAAAAAACCAACGATTTTTGTTGTATGCATTTCAGTCTTCTAAATGCTCTATTATTTTGATTGTATCAGTCATACTGTAATTGATGCTTATTGTTGTATTTAAGTTTTGGTGTTATTATTAGGATATAAAATAATTACTTGATTTAGAATTATTTATTACGTCATTTTGAAAATAATTATGTATTTCAGTACTTGAATTTAAAAAATTCAATGACATTCACTAAATATTAAATTGTTCTAATAAGAACCATTAATTGTCATATACCATCAATTGCATTATTTGGAAAAAAAATTAACTTTCCATTTTATTAATAGTTATAATCATTTATTTTACTATCATATCGTAATGATAAGTCATAAAAATGATATAAGGCACGTTTACCTTTAAAAATTTCTCTCACCTCGTCCCTGCTGATCATACATTCGATTCAATTGTTTTAAAAAAATATAAAATATCTATATGGAACTCAATTTTTTAATATTTAATTATTTATCTGAGAACTCTGAATAGAAATCTTTGTTCTAGTAATGGCTTCAAAACATTCTATTTATTAATTCATGAAAATTTACGAATCATTCAATGTTCCCATGTCCTTATCATCAGAAAATAATTATAACGAAAATATATAGTCATTGCAGAAAAACAAAAAAAAATACTTATTCATTGTTTAAAATTTTTTACATAAAAAAATTGAAACTATAAAAAAAAAATCAAAATTTCAATCTGAATTTGCAACCAAAGAACGATAGTTTTTGTGAAACTTCTATTGAAATTTTTTTTTTGTCTGTAATCATTATCAATGAGAAATGAAAATGAAAATAGACTAAAACTTCCCTGCAAACATTCCATAAGTTTTTTGGTCGTCATACATTCATTATACGTTTAATGCGTTTACTTAAGAATATTTCCAAAAATTTCTATAGCATCTGAGAAAACATTGAAATACGACGTATTGTCCCATGTTCATCAATTTAGATTAGTAAAAAATGGTATTTATATTACAATCTTCAAGATCATATTTGATAACATTCATCTACTATTTTTATGTTACTTATATTGAAATAAAAACCTACAAAACTCTTTGTTTCAAAGTAGATAAGAGTACACATCGAAACTTTTTATTGGCAGTCAAATAACATTTTAAGCTTTCTGAACTTTGATATCCTATTCTTGTATTTGCAGATAAGTTTAAAGCATTTCTTTGTTTGGTGTTTATCATTACATATAGTACAGACTTCCAATATATCTGTGTGTCTAATACTAAACAATGAAAATAATAAAAAGAAAATATCGTTGTTTCACAGCGGTTAATCAATACAATACACAATACGATTAGTCAATAGATGTGTACAGATAAAAACATGCTTCTCATTAGTATGTATATATCTGCTTTGTATTCTTAAAAACAAATGAATCATAAATATGATAGGTAATTGATTTAGATCATCGTTTTTTTTACGTTATATATAAAAACAAATATTGACTCATTTCAACAGTGACTTCAAGAAAAAATTATTATTTACTGAACCGGAACGAATATATATTGTATGCGTAACAGTATGAGTGGTCTCGAATTTAAAATATTCATTTCTTTTCCTTACTCGATACAAACCGTGCAGGTATGATAAAGATATATGAATGATCAGTGAATATGCATAGCTATGTTTGATTTTTAGTGCCATTCAAACAACATCATGATGATTCTGATAAATTAAGACGAATGCAATAACATCATTATATCTCTTTCTATACGTATCTTCTTTTATTTTTATTATTTATTCATATGAATATTGATAAAAATATATAGTAATATTGAGTGTTGATCGTAGCTTGATAGGTATTATTTTTCGTTTAGACATCATGCACGAAGTTAGTATGTCAATGCGTTATGTTATTTAAACTTGTTTTGTGTTTATATGCATTGCTATTTACTTATGTTTTGTTAATTGTGTGACGATAACTGCGAATAACAATCATTTGTTTTTTATGTTTTCGTGTTGCGCGTGAGATGAATATGGTGAGAGAAAAAATTCTTGAGTCTTTCAATGATAAAAACTAATAAAAAAAACGATTCTTCTATGATTCTTTCTTATTTCTTTGTTTTGATTATTGATAAATAGAATTATATTTTATATTTCGATTATGATTATTGTTATGTATGAATACAAAACATATTCTTCCTTACATATTGATACAATTTTGTTTAAATATTTATTTTTACTTTTCAGATATAATAATTCTTTAATTTTCTTTTCTTACTCATTGTTATATAAATTTATTATGGGTGACCTCATCGGTAAAATTCTTTTGTCAATTTTGGCTATTTTATTACCGCCAATAGCTGCACTTATTAAAGTATATTTCTTTGCAATTAAAATCTTTTATAATGAAAATTTATTTTTTTATCGATTTAGGTTGGTTGTACGAAACATTTTTGGATTAATGTAATATTGACTATTCTTGGATGGCTACCTGGTGCTATTCATGCTTTATGGCTTATTTGGGCTGGTCCAGATAGCGTTTAATTATATATATATAAAGCATAATCACCAACAAATTTAGACATTTTTTTCTCATGTTCATTTTAATCTATCAAAGCTTAAAATTTTAAAAAAATAAAACTAACTATTTTCTTTTTCATTTTTGTTTATTTATTATTTGATATATAAATTCAGTAAAATCGTAAAAAGAATTGTCTATAAGTATTGATAGCGCGAAGGTGCTGGAAGAGCCTGTTGTGGCTGCTGTGTATGAAATGGAAGTTGTGGTTGTTGTGAATAGGGTGGCAGTTGTTGTTGTTGTTGTGGATAATATTGATATTGTTGTGGTTGCAATCGAGGTGTTTGTTGTATAGTTGGTTGCGATTGCATTTGCCTATGATGTGATAAATTAGGTCCATTAGTAGGTATTCCACGTCGTTGAATTTCTTGTTGGTATTGTCCTGTGTATGGATCTAGTCGACGTTGAATTATTTCAGCACGATCACCAGCAAAATAGCCAAGTTGCATCTTGTCAATACCACGACCTGGATCACGTAATGCTTTTTTGGTTTGCCAAATTCCACCTGGTCCTATTCGACGTTCATCATGTGCTTGAACCACATGTGGTCGACCATCAAGTCCAGGTGAAATTTGTGTTACATTCATTGCACTTATACCAAATACTTTTCCATAAGGATTACATGGATTTGAACCCATCAATGCTGATATACCACCAATATCAGGATCATTTCGTAGAATTTCACCCATCAATCGACTAGCAAAACCAAAAAGAGAACCGATCCAATCATTACCACCACCATTATAACCGTTAGGAATAGCTCTATTAAACTGTTGATCAACAAGAGCTCCATTATTTGGTTTATAAGGTTGTAAAGGATAAGACATTGTGTTCAATATTCTTCTGGAAATAAATTATATAATGTCGATTATGTATATTTATATATGCCTCGTTTTTCTTTGTTGAAAAGACGTAAAAAGAGAGTATGATTTATTATATCATTGAACATGAACAATCGAGAATATTTATACATGTTCGTTGGTCATACTTCGATGATTTTTCTCTTTCACTTCTTCACTTCTTTTCTTTATTTGATTTTTTTTCAATGTCTTTCATTCCATATTTAATGACAGAGAAAAAAAAATGATTTGATCAATGTACACTCTGGTCAAGGTTTAAATATAATTCAATAGGTGCTATCAAAATAAATATGCCTTGAACTTATTGCCTTGAATAGCGTAATGAGCACAATTAGGAAAAAAATTTGTCTTTACATTTTTATGAAATAAGAGGATGTCTTAATTATACATTTACATATGAATAGTTCAGTTCGATTAGAAAGAGAATTTAGAAATGATTTTTTTTTCAAGTGATTATTACATTAGACCAAAAACTTTCATATCGAATAAAAAAATTGCTTCAAACATGAGACATATCATTTATTAACTGAAGAAATGCGTGAAATATGAAGAAATGAATCTGAATAACGGCTATTACTCGTCTATTGTATATTACTCAATTTCAATGAAAGTTCTACTCATGTAATTCAAATTAGACAGAAAAGGTCGGTAAATTACTAATAGATCGTTCAGAATAATGTGTGCTATACCGGTGATATTTGTCGGTGATGATACAAATAGATGGTAATTTGATATATAAGCAACAGGTTATCCTCGGACTAGCATCCTACCGTGCTATGTCAATGGTTGTTCTCTGACTGGTAACCAGTTACCAGTATATCATCGTTACTACCAATAATTGTGCGACATGAATAGGTCTACTAATATAAAAATGTTTGTATTTAATTGGCAGAGTTATATTCACTAAATGTTTTGGTTTATAATTGTTTTGACTTCAAAATCTTACTCTAAACAGATTCGTAACAAATATATGAATGATTGTTGCTGATCAGTTGTTTTCAGAAGAATACTTCGTATATTTAGTATGAAAAGTATATAAGAGATGTGTCATCAACGTCATCATGATTGATGTTTTCAGAAAACAATCATTTATTCTTTTTTATTCTGTATTCAATGTTTTTGTTTCATAATCAACAAAACAAGCAAATGGATTCATTAGATTACGTTCATGTCGAGGTTGAAATGCGACACGATAAGCACCCGGAAAACATTCCTTGACATTTTCTTCTTGAATAGTACCTAGAATAAATTCGAAAAAAAAGAATTCATTATTTAGTTTGATTTTAAATAATAATAATTAGATGAATAATTGTATACCAGTGCAAATGATATGTTTACATTGAGGCGTCGGTTTTCCAATAAATTTAACTAGACGAGATACTTTCTCAAAACATTCTCGAGAAAGAAATGGTGGATCAACAATTAAAACATCGAATGAATGTTTCCAAGGTGCATAAATTTCTTCAATTCGATCATCATCATTATAATCATATTTTATAAAAGACTTATTATTAGCAGCAAAACGAATATCATATTCGAATAGTATATTTTCAATTTCCGGATATTCCTATTTTAAGTTTTAATAATTTGAATATATATAAATCATTACAAAAAAATATTCTACTTTATGCATGAGACTCCACACAGTTGGACAAGCAATACAAGCACATCTGAAAGAACAAAAAATAAAACATATAGATTCATTCTAATATACAGAAGAGAATCATTTTATTTTGCTTACTTTCCATATTGAGGTAAGATGGCTATTACTTCATTCATCAATCGTGTAGCTGTTTCCTTGTTATACCAAAATTGACTTAGGTGCTAAAGAAATCAAAATTTAATCATTTTTTTGAAATCTTTCTTAAAATCATCATAGTATTTATAACTATCAAAAACTTATAACAAACTATATAAGAAAAAAAAAACAGCTATCGTGCGTAATTTAAAGAAGACAAGCAGTCAGTCAAAAGAGTAGAATACTCTAAGATTCATCGCATGCTTCAATTCATAAAAAATATTTCAATGATATAATCTCTGAAATAAAACTTCTTTAATTTTAACTAATTGCGTCTTATGTCGAAAATCCAACACTATCTGAAGATGAAGAAATAGTTCATCTTCTCCGAATGAATTCATAACTGAAAACGAGTCTGAATCAAAAATGATCTATTGTAAACAACAACACATTATTATAATTAATAAGTTTATTACCAAGTCGATTAAATCTGTTGCCGGATCGAAAACAAATATAATCAGAAGAAAGTTTTATCTGTCTTAATTTTCATCCAAAAGAATTGTAGCAGTAGAATCGTCTCTACATTTTGCTACAGGCTCAAATAGTTAGATTCATACTCACATCTAGAACAAAATACTAACTTTCCACGAATACGTCTGAATCTAATTATTCAACCCTCAACCAAATGTAGAAACTATACTATGTCACAAGTGTTTTTGGATAAAAATTAGGACAGATGAAACCTTCTTCTGGTTGTATCTGATTTCGATCAAGCAACATATTTAATCGGCTTGGTAATAAACTAATTAATTATAATAATATGTTATATATATACAACAGATCATATTTCATCCAGATTCATTGTCGGTTATGAATTCCTTCGACGATATTGAAATTGACGAAAATGGAAATTACCGATTTTTTTCTGTAATATCAAGTATCTAACTCAGATCCAAATATTGAGTTAGATGACCAATAAATTTCTCGATTAAATGCACTATATATCAAAGATTCATTGTTAGAATGTTCGAGAAAGTTTTCTAAGAAAAAAAAAACGAACACAGTAGTTTTCGGATCCCAGAAACCGTTGAATGGATTCATTTTCAATAGTATCATCTTAAAGAGTACAAAATAATGTATTTTTCAATGATTTTTACATAAATTTTAATTGTTTTCATGTTTTGTGATTCTTGTAAGCAAATCACCGTTTAGATTTGAGTTAGATAATTGACAGTACACAGAAAAATCAACAAGACCTTGTTCTTATAATTTTGAACAGTCCTATATATGTATGATTTTTCTAGAAGAAACTATTTACTGTACGAAAGTATTAGTTACAAAAAAATTTCTCATATGAATATTAATATTAAATGTCTCAATATGCTCAAGAATTTAATTAAATTTCCATGATAATCGCACATTTGAATATTTTTGTTTAATAATATTAAAATAAAATTTTTCATATTCATACAAATTTGACCTATGAAAATATTAGTTTGATTAATTCACTAACCCAATCTTCTTTTGGTTCATCAGTTGCTTTATTTTGTTGTTGTTCTTGTTGCCATTCCTGAAGAACTTTTAATGTTTCAGCTGACAATTGAGGTGGGCCGTCATCATCGTCGGTAATCATCGAAAAATAGAAAAAAAAGAAGAGACATTCTAGATTTTTGTATTTATTTTACACACGAATGTTAATAGTTCCTAATGTATTTTTTTGTAAAGATGCAGAATTAAAAACTAACAAAATTCCAGAAAAAAAAAACAAAACAACTCATTTTTGTAATGGTTCATCATTCGTTGATTTATCATATTTTTCTATTTGTTTTCCATCAATATTAACTTCTTCTTTTTTATCTTCATGAAGTTTTCTATGTGTTCGTTGAGAATTCCATATAGATGCATAATGACCATTTTGTTTTGCTAATAATTCATCATGTGTACCTTGTTCAATAACTTTACCTTGATCCAAAATAATAATATTATCACAATCAGTTACTGTACTTAAACGATGTGCAATAACAATTGATGTTCGATTTTTTGTTAATTTTCTAAGAGAATTTAAAATAGCCTAAGAACAAAAGAATCGAAAATGAGAAACCAAAAAACAAAAATAAAAGAAATATATATTTACTTGTTCAGTTGTTGTATCCAAATGAGCAGTAGCTTCATCATAAATAAGAATAACTGGATCTTTTAGAAGAGCTCGAGCAATACTTATACGTTGCTTTTCACCACCTAAATCAATGAGAAAATTAATAAAACTAATTCTCTCTTTAAAAAGAACTGTTAGTACAATTCCTACGAGATTAAAATGCCAAACACGATATAGTTGTGAGACTATTTTATTCTATCTACTTTGTGACACATTTCTTCAGTATTCTTTTACTTAATTTTCGAGAAATATAATAAGAAACATAGGCGACGAAGCCATGAGGCTTAGGCAGGCTCAAGTTTATCTTATAGTGAATAGATTAACTTTCATTTTCGTCTGATAAATGACGTGTTGTTACACGATCGGTCCACATTTTATCTACTGCCAACTCATGTCCAATAAGTATAGGCGATGGAGCCACAAGGCTTGATAAAGTTGAAAGTCTATCCTAGATTTGCGCTTCGTAGACTAAGGTAGAGTCACACACTTTTCTCCTTCTATCAGATCGATAGATTTGAGCAGCACATCACATTTTTTCGTACAAACGATAATATTTTTCGCCGTCTTCGACGACGACTAATAATAACATATTCTCAATCAAGCAAACTTCGAAAATGTTTTTGAAGAAACACGAAGTTTTGTACAAGTAAATATTGGATTATTCATCATCAATGAATTGAAAAGAGGAATTCTTTATTACAAGTGAAGAAGGACTGCACGAAAAATCTGAGTCAGATTAACTAGAATCTGTCAAAATTTTCCTTCGCCTTTAACGACTAAGGTTACATGTCTATTAAACATTTTCGACAGCGAAGAAGCTCACAATGCAGTATCTTTTTTGTTTGGTGAAACATTTCTACTTCACCATTAAACTTTTTTTCTGGTACAGCAGATCAGAACCTCTTCTTGTTGAAAGTTGCATTTCAATGAACATAAACATTCGTATGCTTCTTCAAATGCATGTCTTTTTTTATTACACAAGTTGCGAATTTTTTTTCTGATCTTCACCACCATTACACATTGCATAATGTGACACTAACTGTATTTCATCTAAGTGACATTCAAAAACTCATCTCCTCCCATTTTTAACTTCCAGATGATGATGATTTCATCAAAAATGTTGAGCCTATCCTAGAATCAAAGGGTTACAGAAATGTAATACTGAGACGAAATTTCGTTCTCTCAAATCAAAATTTGCCACCGCCTATGATAAGGAAGTAATTCAAATATTATAATGAGACATTATTGGTATATAGTCTGTGTTTATATATTAACAACGCCTGTCACAATCATTAATGAAGGAGAGACATTGTTCAGAATGGCTGTAATATCTGTGAGGATCCAAATTTCTATTCTTCAAAATTTCTTTTACATCATGTTTTACAAAACTGCTAATACCTGATAATTTAAGTCCACGTTCTCCAACAATCGTATCATATTTTTTTGGCATACGTAAAATAGCATTATGCACTTCAGCAAGTTTAGCTGCTTTATAAACATCTTCTTTTGATGCTTTTAAATTACCATAATTGACATTATAAAAGATGCTATCATGAAATAAAACAGAATCCTATATCGAAAATAACATATATGTAAATATTATGAATGAATAAATTTTTTTATAACTAACTTGAGGTACAACTCCAATAGCTTTACGTAAACTTGTAAGAGATACTTCTTGAATATTTTGATCATTAACACGAATTTCTCCACTTTGTGGATCATAAAATCGATATAAAAGACGAACAATTGTTGATTTACTAGATATATTAAAATATTTTCAAGTTCTTTTTGTTTTCTTTTTATTTGTTAAATAATAATTAACAATTTACCCTGAACCTGAACCACCAACAATAGCTGTTTTATGTCCTGATGGAACGGTAAATGAAAGTTTATCAAGAATTTTTTGTCCTTGAACATAACCAAAAGTAACATTATTAAAAACAATTGATGAATTTTCTGCATCTATATTTAGTTTGCCTGCTTTATCTTTATCCTACATAAATCAATTAAATAAATCATTAAAAAAAAAAAAAAAAAAAATAATTTTCAACTTACTTTAACAGCTGCTTCAACCATTGTTAAACGAAACATTGTTTCCATATCAACAACAGATTGTTTAACTTCACGATAAACTGAACCCAAAAAATTTAATGGTAATGATAATTGAAAAACAAGTCCATTAACAGCAACTAAATCACCAACTGTCATTGAACCATTACTTATACCACCAGCAGCTAATAACATAATAGCTGTTAAACCTAAACTAAATATTGCATTTTGACCAAAACTAAATAAAAATTTTAATTATTAATAGTTTTGTTTTTATTTTTTTTTATATTCAAAAAATTAAAAACAAACTTTAACATAGCTAAACTTGTTTGAGTTTTAATTGATGCTGTTTCATATTCAGATAATGTTTTATCATATCGTTCAATTTCATGAGCTTCATTATTAAAATACTAGATAATAAAAAGTATATACATATATTTAAAAAAAAAAAAGCAGTTTTTTTTTGTGAAATTGTCTTTTATACTTTCACAGTTTCAAAATTAATAAGTGAATCAATAGCTTGATTGCTTGCATCATTATCAGCTTTATTCATTTGAACACGAAATTTTGTTCTAAACATTAAAAATAAAATCTATTAAAATTCTACACAATAATTTATTGATACCTCCATTGAGTAATCGCAAGTGTATACGCAGTATAACCAGCAATACAACCAAAGGCTAGATAAAATCCGAAAAGACTTAACTTTCGCAAAAAAAGAAAAACATTATATCGGACTAATACAAGAAGCACTTCAAAAGTTTTTTCGTAAGCCCTTTAGACAACTATTCGATAGTTGGTTTTAACATTGTTTTTCCAAAGGATTATTCCATATAAACAATACATTTATGCATTCAATTAAGCTCGATTATGAAAGTCGTTTTTGAGATTGTCTTTTGTCAAACCATTTATGACTTATTTTAATATTGCATTCGCAATGTTAAACTCCGTTTCATGTAGTTAAAGTAGAAAGAAGTAATGAATTCAGGTTTGGCGAATATGCTAGATTTAGATGTGATTTCATATAATATTCTGTCAAAAAATTCGTTGATATTCTAGATTTTCCGTGGTCTTGCATTTCTATGATGAAGACTTAAACCTTAGAGACTAGTCTTTTGTTACTTTACTGATACCGTTCGAAAACTTGCACTAGACAGCCATTGTCAAAGTAAATTTTTTATACTAAATCATAATGATATGTATTTGTGAAAACTAGATGCCGTAAAAAAAATGGGCATGTTTCATTGATTGATCAGTAATTACTCGACGTGTCTTGTTAGATTCACTAGCTTAAAATCAATTCGCTGATTAAGACTAAAGAGACAAGAAAAATATTTTCTTGCTCATTTCACATTCACTTGATAAAACAGCTATTGCTGCAAACGAAGGTGTGACTGTAATGGTATATCTTCTCTTCATTTACACTTACACCTTTTTTCAATATTTTCGGTATTAACCTTTCTACGACACATTGTTTCATTTCTCTGAGCTCTTATTTTGATTATTCATGAATTAGTTTGTAGCGCGCTCCAACTTTTGGCTACTCTACTATATTTTTATCATTATGATAAAACTATGATTTGTCACTGGTGATAATGTAGAATGCAAGATGAAAATTAGTTTCTTGAAATCTATTCAATCAATGACGAGTCAATCAAATATCAAACTATATTCAATCATCAGTGAGTTAACAATACACTCATCAAGCACAACAATTTTTAAACTTTTAAACAGACAAGTATAACTAATATAACTATGATGCTCAAAGTGTTCTCTATTTCATTCGTATATTTAGTTATTGGCGGAACAGTATTAAAAGTTTCTCCGGTTACGTCAATCTTATATTGGAATTACAAATTTTGAGAACGGCTAAACGAAAAAAAAACTTTTGACGTGTTCTATGCGTATTATACAATTTAAACAAAAATACTCCGAAACTAATAAAATCTTAGATCATATATGATAATTACCAATAGCTCCATATGATAATCCAAATTTGAGCCACTAGAATAAACATTCGTAAATAAAACGAAATATATCTCATTAAATATCTTTCTTACTAAAACTCCACTAACAAGTCCAACTTCAAATATAGTTGGTACAATATTAAATACTAATGCAGTTAATACAAAACTTATTCCTCTATAAATAAAATATTTCATATAGATTATTTAAATAAAAAATTTGTTTGTTTTTGTATTTGTCTCACTTAGTTCCACGATCGATTGCTTTTGATAAAGCACCTGTTTGTCTTCCCAAATGAAAATTTAAATCAAGATTATGTATATGTGAAAAAACTCGTTTTGCTAATTCACGAATACTTCGATGCGCTACATTAGCAAATATTGCATTACGTAATTCACCAAATAGAGCAGCACCAGCTCTTGCAGCACCATCTAAACAAAAACATTTATTTATTGTTTTTATTTCATTTTCCAAAAACAAAAAAAAGAAAATATCAAATTAATTAAATCATACATCCTATCAATAATGCAGTAATCATTGATATAATTGCTGATTGTGTTGTATCTACTTGTAATGTTTGACCTTTATTAAGTTCATCAACTAAATATTTAAACATAAATGGAACACTTATATTCAATAACTAGAAAATATATTTCATTTAATATATAGAATATAAAATTTAAAAAAAAAATAATTTCAATTTACCTTAGATACTAATAAAAGTGTTAATGCAATTAATACACGAATTTTAACTTGTTTTCCAGTTTTTGGCCAAATAAAACCAAACATAGCTTTTAAAACATATCGTGTTGAAACACTGCCCGGTGGTACATCAACATTAAATGGTTCTTTACTACCATGTGCATGAGATTTACGCTAAATAAATAAAATTTCATTTTTAATTCAATTCAATCAAATAAATAATTATTACTAAGAAAATTCGAATAATATTTCGAGCTCGACTAAGAAATGAAGATGATGATTGAAAATTAGCCTATTCAATAAATTGAAATTAATTTTTCATATTGATGAAAGAATTAAATTATACATACATGATTATAATTATGATACGATTTCAATAAAATTGAGGATTTATAAAATGTTCTCGTTGAACTATTTGTTATAGGTGAAAGTCGATATTTATAAGTACATTTGAAAAATGATGACGAGAAGAGTGTCCGCCGTAAAAGCGGATTCATCTCGCAAGTCACAAATCAATTCTTTTTTAAATAATCTATAATAAAAATTTCGTATTATTATTATTTCATTATTGTAAATGAAATAATATTTGACGTTGTTGACTGACGACAATGTTCAAATAACGAATAACAAACATATACACTAAAACAAGAAGATGAATATTAGACATTGATAACTTATTCAGTTCTTCAAATAAAACTACATATTTCGAAAAAAAGAACATCGAAAATCTATTCCCAAAATTACAATTACGATCTGGGTTTCTAATAAAAATCCTTTAAAAAAACTGCCTTTTTTCTACACTCTGTGTATATTAGTAAACTATACATGTACACTTTTTTTTTATTACAAATAAAGCATATCAAAATGTGCAACAACGAAGTTTTTTTAATTCTTTAATTATCGACCAAAGATACACATATGCAAAATAGAGTGGTTTTACACATCGTATATTTTCGTTTCTTAATCCATGAATCTCACATGGACCATAACAAAATGATAATATGGAAATCTCTTGCTGTTCAATGTTTGCTTTTACCCAAATATATCGAAAAACTATGCATTATAAATGATTACATTAATATCACGTGATGGTGAAGCTCATGATGTATATATGCATCGTCACTCATTAAAGAGTTGAATAATGTATTGAAAAAAAAAACAGAAAGAAAAATTCTACTTTTTCGTTTGACAAATAATACCTATTGATAATAAAAATACTGATAAGTGAAAAAAGACATTTTTTTTTCTTGTATAATCAAAGAGACATTGTGCTTCTACATGATATGCAAACTCACTCTCACTCTGTACTATTTGTGATTGAATTTCATATATATATGTGTGTGTGTGTACCATTCAGAAGAACCAAAAAGATTGAAGGATAGAAAAAAAGAAAGTAAAGTATTTTAAAATAATAGAATAAGTTATGTATTTATTACTTTTTTTTTTTTTTTTGTTTTTACTTAAAATTCATTTACTATTCTTGAAAACAAACTTTTATTCTATTTATCAAAGTATGAAACAGTATGTAAAAATGAAAATAGCAGATGTTCTCTAGGTTTTACTTCTAATTGGTACCCCCTATGATTAGATATATTTTTTAGCTAACATTACTAACATTTCATCCATTAAATATCGCATATAATCTGATTGGTAAATTAATACTCCAATAAGAATCCGAGGTCACCATTATCACGCACATCCTTTTTTTTATTTATTTTCTTATTCTTTGCCAATAATAGATTGGTTCATTTGGACGGTGTTTGTTTGTCCTAGTTGCTTTCAAATATCTTCTTTTTTTTTTTTTTTTTATTCAAGGCTATTATCTATATTTATTATTTAGATCGCTTGGATTTATCTTTAATATAGATCATTCATCTTTATATTTTTCAATATGTCAATAATCCGTCAAAAAGACGGTCATCCCAATGTAAAATTTTTTGAATCAATTGAAACATTAAATCAATTTGATACAATAAGAAAAGCATTACAAAAAAAAGAATTAAAAAAAATTTTTGGTGATGATCAACATCATTTAACAAAAGATAGCATAGCACAACTTGTTATACAATTACTTCGTTTTCAAGAAGATCATCTTGGAAAACAATCAAATGGTTCAGCACCACTTATGCGAATTCCAGTAAAAAAAAGAAAAAGAAAAAAAATAATTATAAAACTCATGTTGTTTTTTTTGTAATTATAGATGGAATGTTTTTTGGATTTTCGTGAATCCGGTGCACTCTATACAATTATTCTTAGTTGTTATGAATATAAAAATAATAATAATTGGTATAAAAAAAAAAATATTAACATTTTAAACAAAATTAGTTTTGTTTTTTTTTTTGTGTAGGAAAAAACTTGATTTATCTACACATAATCGTAATGAAGTCATAAAATTATTTCAATATATACAAAAATTATTAATTGAACGTAATGTCTTAACATTACCTATATGTTATCTTCGATCGGACATTGATAAACGTTTACAAACACAATTAAAACAAATTATTGAAAGAAATAATGGAACTGTTGCAGAAAAAGAAGAAGATGCTGATCATATTGTTTATCCACAAATAACTGAAAATCCACGAGAAATTGATATTGAACGTGAAAGTAACAAAAATAAACACAACAAATTTATTAAATATATTTTCTATAATTTTTTTCTTTTTATTTTGTCAATAATAGATGAAATTGTTCGTGTCGTAGAAAAACGTGGAAAAGATTGTCGTTTACATTATTGGTTTTATCCAGATTCGTTTGATATTTGGGTATCAAATATAGATGCTGAAGAATCAGAAAAACGAGATGAAACATTTCAAGGTATTTGGCATGTAGCTGCTAATTGGATATTAGATACAGCAGAATTTAATGAATGGATGAATGAAGAAGATTATGAAATTGATGAAGATTTAGTATGAATTGAAAATTTTTTTAATTCAAGAAAAATTCATTTATCCTTTCTTTTTTTAGGGAAGAGATCAAGGAAGAATTAAACTTAAAAATTGTATACCTGGAAGAAAAACATTGTCTATGGTAAGAAAGAAATTGATAATCTAAGTCCTTTTTTAATCATAGATCTTATACTATGTTGTATGTCATATTAAAATCTAATTGCAAGTTTCAATTAAAGTTGAATTTACTGAAAATTGTTTTAATCTTTTTTTTTTATCAGATTAACTCCCTTATTGGTTTTATTATTTTTTTTTTCGGATGTGATATTTGTTGCATTAAAAAAAAAAAACTTTTTACTTTTTCAAAATGGAAGAATCATTTAATAGGATGATGTATAAATATGAAAATTGTTTAATGATTCTCTTTAGTACTAATCATCGTTCTATGTAACTGCAAATAGTTGTTATTGGTAAACAATAATCATTTTGAGTTGTTTCTTATTGTTAGTGTATGTTGAGAATTAGTCTCTCAGTATAATTATGGAATGAAGATTTGGCTTCACAATAGCATCGAATTATTATCTTGTATATTTGTAATGAAATGAAATGGGCTCACATTAACGAGAAAATCATTCGGACTGATATTCGTCGTTTGAGCAAGACTACTAAATGTGGAAAAGTGCTCGTTATATACAGCAAAATCAACTAATGGAATTCCGACATTGAAATTTTGCCCATAGTATAAATTGAATGATCCGAAAGCTTCAATCAAAAAGAATATGTTGTTGTTGAGATATCGAATTTCCATAAAATATTTATTGTTGTCACAGGCATCATATAAAAATCAAATTTACTTGAGAATTTAATGTCTCAACAAAAAAAGCATTCTTTTCAGATCGAAAATTCAGCGAAATGATCATAACACGACTCTAAAGGCCCGTATGCACTAACTTTTTTGGACTTTTCTTAATCTTAACAAAGCGTTCTTGTAGGCTCAATATAAATTCGAACGGCTGGCATCGGTTCGGGTAATTTCTTCCCCAGTGTTTCATATGTTTAATCTTGAATTCGTTTACCCGAACACGTTTTTTCTTTTCATCGAACTCGACCCAATCAATCAAACATCTGACAGCATTGAATACTAAAACATTTTCAAAAATAATCAATTTCCATTAAGGTTCTTCATTGTTCTTTTCATTTTTTTTTCTTTTTCTTCTTTCATTTGGCAGCATATAGAAAAGAAGAAGGAGAGAAAGCAAAAAAAAACTCATCGTTCAGTTGGAACCAACACTACTGTCATATAAGCAAGCAATTCATCGTTCTTTTTCTCTTTCTCTTTGGCAATAACCGACGAAGGGAATCGGTCTTCGTCGTCTTCGCCATATTTTTTTTCTCTTCTTTTTTTTTTTCCTTCCAAATAATTCTCATACGTAGACACGTACACCCAAAAAAAAAACAAGGGCGACGATAGGAGTACCACTAACAAACACATAGTATTGGATAGTTGAAACTTGCGTTCTCTTTTGTCATTGAAGAGAAAACATGGTAATGATCTATTTTGTGATTAGTAAATGATGAGAGAGAATAGAAAAGAAAATATTTGATTGATCGAATATTATACTATATTTAGCTTGTTCCTGATCGTAAAACTGAATCAAATGCAACGACAGTATCTAGTGGAACAAAAAATAATTCTAAAAAACGTTCGGCAACAAATACAACATCTAAACGAAAGTAAATATATAAGACGAAAAAGAAAATAACTTTTTATTTATATAAAATTTAATGATTGTATTCCTTTTTTTTTTCTTTTAAAGAAAAAAAATGTGTTCTGGAATTGATTTAGATGAAAATGATTTATCTAAAGATGGAGAAAATTCTTTATCACAATCAATTTTTGATGATCAAACATCATCAAGAACACGTAATAAAATCTTTTAAACAATTCATATTAGACAAAAAAGAAAAAGAAAGAACATAAAGTTTTTTTTATAAATTCTAGCAATAACTGGTCAAAAAACGAATGATTCTCAATTACCACGTGGTGCAACATTAAATGATTTAAATGATGACGGTGATGATATTGATGATCAACAAATTCAAGGTGATTCAAATCAAATAAAAAAATTTAATGATCCTGAAGCATGTGAACAAACACATCATATTATAATTCCAAGTTATTCAGCTTGGTTTGATTATAATGCAATAAATTCAATTGAAAAACGTGCATTAAGTGAATTTTTTAATGGAAAAAATCGTTCAAAAACACCTGAAATGTAAAAACAAAAACAAAATTTCTTCATAATTTAGTTTAAAATTTTTAAATTTTAGTTATATGGCTTATCGAAATTTTATGATTGATACATATCGTTTAAATCCAAATGAATATTTAACTGTAACAGCATGTCGAAGAAATTTAGCTGGAGATGTTTGTGCTATAATGCGTATTCATGCATTTCTTGAACAATGGGGTTTAATTAATTATCAAGTTGACGCTGATTTACGTCCAACACCAATGGGACCACCATGTACATCACATTTTACTGTTTTAGGTGATACACCTTGTGGTTTAGCACCTGTTGGACATCCAAAAGGAATACAACGAGAAGTAATATGAAAAAAAAAAAAACAATTTTTATGATACTTTTTTTTTTTTTTATTTGAATAGAATTCAGCATCAAAACAAATAACAGATTTAAAACAAGAACCAAAACGTGAAGAAAGAGATGTTGAGAATAATTTAAGTTTAAGACCTGATCAATATAATAAAAAACTTACTTTAGTAAGTAAAGTTCTTTTTTAATCAAAGAAAAGTTAATATGACTTGAAGGATTTCAAATACTTCAAACAAAAGTTTTATTTTATTTTATGACTGATAATAAATTGACTGTAATCATTTATATTAGAAGTGAAGGATAGAAAATAGTCAGATTTCTTCTTTCAAAATGGTGAAAATAAAATATGTGGTGCAATAACTACGAATTTCCGAAGGGCTAATCTGATTTTGAAAGAAGTGTCACCCATCGGATCCGAAGTTTTTGAACACTGAGATTTTATAATTATAGATTTATATTATTTTTTTATTTGTAAACAGAGAAACAATCGTGGGATTTTATTTTTTGATTTACTTTCGTCACTCAATGATAATTCAAAATAATAATAATATCTCGAAATTGTAGTGAACAAGAAAAGCTATTAGCAGAATTCCTGTTGGATTAAAATGTGAAACACAATGTAACTGCTCTTGGCAATCATAGAAAAATTGTTTTGAGACAAGTTTTTATACCATTCTTCAAAAACGCAATAAAGAAGTAGCTGAACGAGAACACAGGGAAAGGATTGTTGCTAATACATCTGTCAAGGACTGTAGGAATGGGATGAGTAAGTCTAACTCTATACTTCTTTTAGATTGTGTTTCACAAAAGTTATGTACTCGAATCATGCTAAATTTTTTTAGTTTTATTGAAAGTGCTTTCACATTAACTAATCACTTCAGTGAATTTACATAAGAAAAAAATTTTGTTTTTTTTCTTAGAATCCAAAAACAAAAGCAAAAGATTGGTCAGATCAAGAAATTCTTCTATTACTTGAAGGTAAAATTATTGATTTTGCTTTTCTTTTTTTGTTATTGTTCTCTTGATTAAAAACTTTATCTTCTTATATTCAGGTCTTGAAATGTATAAAGATGATTGGAATAAAGTTTGTGAACATGTTGGTACACGTACACAAGATGAATGTATATTAAAATTTCTTCAATTACCAATTGAAGATCCTTATTTAGAAGGCAATGGCTCAACATTAGGTCCACTTGCATATCAACCAATACCATTTAGTCAAAGTGGTAATCCAGTTATGTCAACTGTTGCTTTTCTTTCATCAATTGTTGATCCACGTGTATCAAGTGCTGCTGTTAAAGCTGCTTTAGATGAATTTACTAAAATGCGTGATGAAGTTTCACCATCATTTATTGAAACAAATCGAGAAATAATTGAAAATGCTTTAAAAAAAGGAAAAAAACTTGATGAAAATTCAAGTTTAGAATTACTTGGATTAACAAGTAGTACAGGTATATTTTTTTGAAAACAATCGATATATTTCGATTTAAATATTATATTTATTTTCTTCTTTTTTTTTTTTTTGAAAAAGATGAAACTATAACAGATAAAACTAAAAATAGTACTGATAATGAAGATCCATCTAAAGTTAAACAAGAAAAAATGGATATTAATGATGAACAACAAACATCAACAGATAAATCGGTAAATAAAATTATTTCATTTTGAAAAATTCTTAATAAAAAAAATTTCTTTTTTTTTTTTGGTTTAGCTTAATCATGAAGATGAATCAAAAAAAATGGATATTGATGAAAATGAAAAATCAATAATAGAAACAAATACACAAAGTGGTGATACACAAATTATAACTGATGATACATCATCAACTATTCCAAAAACAACAACAAATGTTGATCAAAATTCAAAAAGAACTTCAGCTAATGATGTTAATGAAAGAGATATTAAAACAGCTGCAGCAAGTGCATTAGCAGCAGCAGCTGTTAAAGCTAAAGTATATTATATATATATATATATATCAGAATCTTTTATTTCAAAAATTCGTTCCTGTATTTTAGTATTTAGCTTCAATTGAAGAACGTAAAATAAAATCTGCTGTTGCACAAGTTGTTGAAATGCAAATTAAAAAATTAGAAATTAAATTACGACATTTTGAAGAATTAGAAACAATTATGGATCGTGAACGTGAAATGCTTGAAATTCAACGACAACAATTATTACAAGAACGACAACAATTTCAATTAGAACAAATAAAAGCATCAGAATTAAAACATCGACAAACAACAACACATCCTATAACAACACCATCAACTGTACATAATACACAAATTTCTAATGTTAATACAAATGGTAAACAACAATCAAATGTTACTTCATCATCATTATCATCGTCACCACCACCCCAACCACCACCACCATCAACAACAACAGCAGCAACAAATATTCCTTCACAATCAACTAATGGAAATGAACCACATATGCAAAGTGAAGAATCAACAGATTCTCAACAAAGTGATGGTAAATAAAAAAAGAAACAATAAAATTTCCTATTTAATTTTTATTTATAATCGTTATTTTTTTTAAGCTTCACCTGCTACAATGACATCACCAAAAATGTTATCATCATTAGGAAATGATAATAATATTCCTGAAGGTAAATTTTGCATGAATATTTCTCTAGTTGGCTCATTCCGCTGCTTGGTTTGATTTTATTCCATGCTTGCTTTATCTCCGTTTTCCCTATTGTTTGTTGTAGTTTTGTAGTTGTTGCACGTCAATAGATGCATAAATATATATATATACATATACACGTAGAAAAACAAACTTGCAACAAAAAAAAAAACATGCGCTCTCTCGCTGGCCAGTTTAAATAAAATAAATAAATCTCAATCACTATATTGCTGTCAAAAAAAAAAAGAATCTTTTTTCCCCCTTTAGTTAGTTGTATGAAAAATGTAGATAGTTTGCTTAAACAACATCTATTTTAAAACTCAACAAACAAAAAACAAAAAAAAAAAAGAAAAGAAAACGGTTAGAATTTGCTCTAACGCTTTATTGACATTGTTTATTCTTTTTTACGTATGTTTCTCTCCTATGTGGGATTAGCTCGGGGCTAACTTAATATATACATATATGATTTTCAAATATTTCTTTTTCTTTCTTATTTTATGATTGATTTCAAATACATTCTTTTCTTTATCGTTTTGTCTATTTCTGTGGTGTTGGTTTTCTCTATTTCTATGTTGATGTTATCTGGCCAAGATACATAAAAAGCTCAAGAGAGAGAGAGAGAGAGAGAGCGCATATATTTGTTGTTTTGTATATATTGTCCTTGTCTGCATGTTCACTTCATGTATATAATCTTTTCACTATTGCCATTGTTTTGTACACACATATTCATATATGTATATATATTTATATATTTGGGGTTGCATGCATCATCTTATGTTTCTTTTATGTAGTCAAAGACAATAAATTGATGCATGAAATGAAAAAAAAAAAAAAAGATTTTTTTTTTAAATTTCCATAGATATATTTTGTTATTTTGTATTCTTCCTTATTTATTGTGTATTTGACTATATATATACAATAATTTGTCTTCTTTGTTTTCTTTTTTTTGTTGTTATTATCTCTTTCCAATTTCAGGCAGTACAGTAGAAGCGACAACAACTAAAACAACAACAACAACAACAACATCAACAACATCTTCTCATGGTGTTACAATTAATAATACAATAATCACTACAAGTGAAAAAATGCTGATTGTAAACACCGGTGAAAATGGCAGTGATACAAATAATATTACTAATAATGCTCCTGTACCTACTATTACAGAAAATGACAATACAAATAATAATAATTATTAACAAAATTAAAAAAAAACCCTTTTTGTGTTTTCTCATCGTTTTTTTTTTCTTTGTTCTTTTCTTTTCTGTGTCTCTCGAATGTATTCTCTTAAAAAGTTGCCAGCCAGGCGTTTAACTCATTTTGAATGATCTTTGTGTTTCGTCTGTTATTAGAATTTGATCCTTTTTTTTTTTGTTCTTTCTTCTCTTATTCTTTTCAAATAACGCATACACTACTCACTGCCACTTACATACACACAACATAGTGTATTATATATATATTTACTTCTATTAGAAATTCAAATTTATGTCTCTTCTTGTTAGAGCTAAATCAGAATATGAAACAAAAGAAAAGATGTGTATGTGTTATTAAAAAAAAATGCGTCTTATATTATTTCTTATTTGTTGTTGATCATTAAAAAACAATGAAAACAAGCCAAAAAAAAACACACAATCTGTATAGATTAAAAAAAATGATTGTTTTATGTTATTTCTTATTTCTAGGAGGTTTATCAGATAATAGTGAATTATCTGATGATCAAGATGAAGGCTCAATATCTTCATCATCATTAACAATTGTACGAAAAAAAAGTCGAAATCCAACATCATCATTACGTACAGCATTAACAGGAAATTTTCATAATACATCAAGACGATTTGAATCAAATGATCAATTAAATAGTGGTACAGCTTCATCATCATATACAAGTGGACATCATGTAGATGATGATAAACGACGATATCAATGTTCAACATGTTCAAAAAAATTTAAACATAAACATCATTTAAAAGAACATGAAAGATTACATACTGGAGAAAAGCCATATACGTGTGATAAATGTGGAAAACGATTTAGCCATTCAGGTAAATTGAATCATTTTTATTTCTTTTCATTTATTTTTTTTGTTTTTGTTTTGTCTCAAGGTTCATATTCTCAACATATCAATCAACGCAACAAATATTGTCGACCTGATCAAGCTGATACAGAATTCGATTAATTCAACAAAACAATAATATTCATGAACAAAAAAACAAAAAAGATCGATCGCTTCTGCTGCTGCTTCTTCTTCTTTTGTCTTTCAGTGATTTGTTTTTTTCTTTTTGTTTCTTTTGCTAGGTCTTCCTTTTCTTTTCTTTTTTTCGACAGAACAAAAACAGTTTTATGTAGATAATATTTAAAAACGTGATATTAACAAACGAACAGTATTACACATAATAGACAATAATTTTAAGTATTTATTAAATGTGATAAAAAAAAACAAAACAAACATAGCAAGCATTCTACAATGAAATTTCCGATTGTGTAACGCTCAATGTTTTTGTTTGTATATAAATAAAACAAGGGGCGAAATAGATCAAAAACTATAAGTGTTTGTGAAAAATTTCGATTAAAATAATAATCAATTCATATAATAAATAATCGTTTGTATTTTGTCTTTTATAGCGCAATACATCTTATAGATTTGTTTCTGTTTTTTTCTTTTTTGTAAATAAAACTTTTTCTAATATTAAATTCTATCGATACGATTTGCTTTTAGAAAAAGAACTATGGGTAAAAAGAAACATTCATTTGAAGATGAACAAAAAGATAAAAATAATAAAAAAAATCAACAAGAAGAACATGAATATACAGAAATGCCAGTAGGATGGAAAGAACCACAATTTACTAAAGAAGATAATCCTCATGGTAGAATACTTTTTTTTTTTTTCTTTTGAAATGAAATGAAATAATTTCATATTAATATATTTATAGGACTTATTGCTGAAAGTTCATTTGCAACTTTATTTCCAAAATATCGTGAAAAATATCTTCAAGAATGTTGGCCATTAGTCAAAACTGAATTATCAAAATATGTAATTAAAAATAAAGACAAGAAAATTTATTTGATATTTATATTTTATTTTAAAGGGTATTAAAGCTGAACTTGATCTAGTTGAAGGTAGTATGACTGTTCGAACAACACGTGATGCATATGATCCTTATATGATTGTTCGAGCACGAGATTTAATTAAATTACTTGCTAGAAGTGTCACTTATGAACAAGTAAAATTACATTTTTACTTTAAAACAAAAACAAAAAAAAAAATTCTTTTTAATTTTGAATATTTCAGGCTGTGAGAATTTTACAAGATGATCATGTGTGTGATATTATTAAGATTAGTTCATTTGTTCGTAATAGAGAACGTTTTGTTAAAAGAAGACAACGATTAATTGGTGCAAATGGATCAACACTTAAAGTAAATCGTTATTATAAATTATCATTTGATTATATCATTGTAAAACTCGATCTAAAAGGAGTGTTGAAGTGTATTGAGTAGAAATTTACACTAACTGCCTCCTCTTGACAGACAGCTAAGCAACGCTCCTTACTCTTTTCGTCATAGATGTTGTTGATATATGATCACAGACTATATATCAATAAAACATCTCGTTAAACTACTTCCTTATTACATTTCTAGAGAATTAAATAAAAGGATAGTGAAGAAATGTGTCACAAAATAGATAGAATGAAACAACCTCCTTGTGATTAGCAGCAGCAACTACATCATCTTTCAATGTCAATTCCGCAAGAATTGCATTAACAGCTTTTTTTCATTCATATTTAGGCTATTGAACTTTTAACTAATTGTTATATTCTTGTTCATGGTAATACAGTCACTGCTATTGGACCTTATCAAGGTATTCGACAGGTATATATTTTCTATTGTTATTCTTATAGAACTTTATTTTCATATTAATTTAGGTTAGAAAAATAGTTGAAGAAACAATGCAAAATATTCATCCAATTTATAATATAAAAGTACGAAAATAAATTGTCTTTTTCTTTTTTAATGCTTTTTTTTTATTCATATATCTAGACATTAATGATAAAACAAGAATTAGCTAAAGATTCAAAATTAAAAAATGAATCTTGGGATCGTTTTCTACCGAAATTTAAATCAAAAAATCTTTCTAAACGTTATAAACCTCATAAAGTTCGCGTTACTAAACCATATACTCCATTTCCACCATCACAACCATTATCAAAAGTAAATTATTATTATTTATTAGAATTCATTTATAATTAATCATTATTTAAAAAAAAAAATTTAGATTGATAAAGAACTTGAAAGTGGTGAATATTTTGCTAGAGAAGCTGAACGTCGTCAGAAAAAATCTGAAAAAGATCAAGTTAAATTAGATAAAAATACTGAAGTATCATTAAAACGAAAGAAAGAAAAACGAGACAAAGAATTTATACCACCTATTGAAAAACAATCTAATCTCAAACAAAAACCAACAACAAAAATTGATGGTCTAGTTTATTTATCTATTTATTTGCTAAATTCTTTTCTTTTCTTTTTTTTCTTTTCTAGATACATCAAAATTAGTTAAAAATGTCAAGAAAAAACTAAAACGTTTACAAGCCGATTAATTTTTATTTTTGTAAAATAAAAATTCTATAAGGCTAATTATCATTCATAAAAATTTGTTTTTTTTTTTTTCTTTTTGTTTTGTTTTTTCTATTTGATAAATATAACTAAACTAACATGATTAATATACCAATCATGAATAGAAAAGAAATTGTTGTTTTTATTGAAGCTGATGAAATAACTATTGATGTATCATCAAGACATGAACCTGATAAACAACGAAGTTTTGTTGTACAAATAATTCCACCTTGATGTTGACATTTTAATTCAGCAAGATGAGTTTTTCCATTCCATAAACCTTTACAACGATTTTGATTTAAATATAAATCAAGTTGATTATTTCCTAATGTACCAACACCAATTTGTACTGAACCATATTTAACAGTAAGTGTTGATCGTTTTTGATTTAATATAAATGGTCCATTTGGTTCACATGTTTCAGTTGAAGAATTACATTCACATGAATCAATTAAAAATATTCCATTTAAATTTTGACTTGATATTGTTTGTAGAAATGTAAAACATAGAATGAGTATAACAGTTGTATGAAACATATTGATATGAATGTTCAAAATTGATGAAAGAACAAGATTTATAAATGAACAGTTTCATGTAATTGATATTTTAAGCCTTTGTATGTTGAATATTTAGATTAAAGTAAAGGTAATATGAGATGTTATATATATATATATTTAACATCAATCTCATGGTTATATCTTGAAAAAAGAATTTTTATTTTCACATAGTACTTGTATATCGATGAAACAGAAGATTTAAAACAAGGTGAATATTATAAAATAGACAATCAAAGTTTAGTATGTTATTCTTATATTAATGATACATTCGTTTGTAATTAAAATGAATACGTTAAGAGAAATTGAGTTTCATTCGATGAGACAATAGCATTTAGAAATTTAACAATGTAAGAATAATAGATTTTCTCAAAACAATGAAAATATTGAATTTTAAAAAAAACTGGCTTCGTTTATAGTTTTCAGTCAATATAAGTAACTAGATTTTGTTTCTGTATAAAATGTGTTACATTTTTTTCTATTGATTACTGTCGATTGGCAATTTCTCGACGGTGAGAGAGCAAGCTTTATGAATAACGATGTTTGGCTTTTCGATATAAAAAATATTTATTAATAAACGCAACAAAAGCCATTGTCGTAAAACATGAGCTTTTTGTAACATGCAGTCGAATATCTGATCTTTATCATATTTTTACAAATATTTACTTGATCGAAACTAACAATCACAATAACAATGCAGTTTTCCTTAACTCATGTATCATATGTATGTAGTTAGAAACGATGGTGTGATGTTGAGAGTTAGCGTACAAATTTGAAGTGATTATTATGACATGCACTGGTTAGTCTGAAGTTGTTCATGTGAAAGAAGAATTCCATTCTCACATTCTTACAAGAAATAGAACATGTAGAAGAATTACAACATGAAGAAGAACAAAAAAAGTGAAATCAAACAATATTGAAACTACTACAAGATGAGGAGCAACGAGAGGAAATGACTTTATAAGCTCTACATTGTAAAAGAGAAAAGGCGTAGAATAGTAAAGCCAATAAAAAAAAGTTTATTAGCCTCATAAATCCTTTTAGAACATATGACGTTTTTATAAATCCTTCGAAGAATTCATGAAAATTTGATGTAGTGTTTACGAGGCAAATGAAACCTTTTGTTGACTTTATTATTCTATGCTTTTGTTTTAACAGTATAATACTACTTGATGGAGACCAACTCCGTCAATTAAAATTATTTGTTAATGATTTCAAAATAGAAATCAATTGTTATGTATCAGGATATAATTCAATTATCAAAGAAACGCAATTTAATTAAAGATGACAAGAATATAATATTGTATGATTGAATATTATTGATATTCATAATACTATTGACATAAAAAGTTTTATTGCTTCTTGTTAACTGAATATGTCTATCTTTTTTCTTTTTTTATTAAGACATTAATATTCTAGATAAAATTCTTTTCTTCTATTAATAATGACAACAAATAATAAGTATTCAAATTAGACAATCGATCATAATGATATTGTTTATGAAAGACGAATAAAAGACATTTTGAAATATGTCATGTATGTTTTTTTTAGATCTTCTAGTTATATTTTTGAGTGTTTTAATTTCGATAATTTGGAAAAGATGTACAATAAAATTGAATTTAATAACGACTTTATTGATGTGTTTAATAATGTTTATGTACTGTACAAAGACGAATATGAAACCGATAATCTTGAAGGAAAGACAGTTCTTCATGTCAAGCAGCGGTGTCCAATTCGAAAGTTGATTTCGAGTATTAAACTAGTGTTCAAGTACCTAATTACTCAGTATTACTTTTCGTGTGCTAAGATTTCACGAAAAATCTTAGTGAGAGAGATGCCGTTTGTGTGTACTTCTTAGTGGAATACTTTAGTATTTAAATTTCAAATTTTCAACTGTCAAATATTCAATAACTGAACTCAACTTTTAAGTTTGACATGTGTGGTTAGAAAAACGAATTGTTTGCAAATTGTTATCCGATAACTTTGATTCTTTGAAACATTTCATCACAATTCTTCTCTATACATTCCTGGTCAACGATATGACTTCTATCGAATTCAAAAATCAACATGAAAATTTTATAGAAAGAGTAACATGTATTTGACTAAAATATTTATTATGAATGTTTGTGTAATAAAGACTCAAGAATATCAAGAACAATACCAATAAAAATCTGCATGTATTCCAACTATGATTTGCAAGCAACAACAATGACAGTGATATGTCTGTGTTTAATTCAACCAAAACTTGTTTAGATAATTTAAGAAATATGATGATTCAATGAGATTTATATCAAGATGTTAGATTATTGAAAAAATAATTAATTTATTGTAAGCGTTCATCCATAATAAATAAAACTGTAGATATGTCTGCCGAACGAGTCTTTTCCATATTTTATAATCTTTTCAATGATGCAAAATACTATCGAAAAATTATTGGTAATGATATGAGGTCGTTATTTACATTGACTTTAATAAATATCCTTATGTGAAAATGCAAAAAAAGAGTCGATTTGTAAAGATCTATCATTATTTACATGTTTTTTTTTAGACTAATTTCTTCTCGTAAGTATAGATATACGGATGATAATTATTCTCTTCACATAGAGTTTCTTGATATTTTTTCTGTAATGTATGATTATCACTGAACATCCGTCTATCGTAAATCAGGTGCTGAATCTTATGTAGTACTATTGATACATCCCCTACTCGACTTTCCCTAATGAAATCCCTAGGGGTTTCATTATGGAAAGTCGACTAGGGATTAGAACAATTCTATGTGAATTGTTGAGATTGATTACTAGCTTTTATAGAGTGAGACTTGTTTAATCTGATATCGTTTTGTGAATGGTGTCGTTCTTATCTGAGATATGTTTCTGCTAAAAGATGTCGAATCGGAAGTAATTTCATTTGCATTTTTTCTTTTTTATGATCTCTAATCGAAAGTTGTAACATTGAATCATTTGATTGATCTTCTGTTTGTAGAAAATATATAAATTTAGGACAGATATTTAGTTATTTTGAGAAAATTCTCATAGATTGTTGGGAGATTTTCTGTGAAATATAGGCAAGTGACACATTTATGAGAGTAGAATTTTCTGAATCGCTAATATATTTTAAAGAGATTGGCTTTAAAGATCATAGAATTGTTTGAAAAGATTTTCTTCAACTTCAGCCACACTTGTTTTAATCAAATTAGTGTTGATTTTTTTTGAAGAATATCGAATATGGAAATGTTGGAAGTATAGAAGTTAATAGACAGTCGTATCGTCGACTATCTCGGTGTCTGTTCGAAAAAAACATGAACTATTTCCATTTATGCTAGATATCTTGCAAAACGCACCCTCACAAACCTTTGTTTGATCGATTTATCATTAAAAAACTAGCGTTATCAACGACATGTATTCAGAGAATTCGAGTAACAAGAAAAAAACATGGAGGTCGATAAATTAAATTTAAAAATAAATATCTTATGATAACTGATAATCGATATGTCCTTAGTTGAAATGAAAAAAGGTTGTTTATATATTGATTGGTTCTTTCTACCCACAATTAAATCTTTAATCGATTGATATTTTTTTCAATAAATGAAAAAGTCGTCTCGTGCTCATCTTGTCATTTTTCTTTTCATTACAAATCAAAAATTCTTCAATATCATCATTATTAAATATGACAAATAATAGTAAGTGTACTACAAAACAAAATGACTTTAGTTTTTTTTTTCGCTTGAAAATACACATTTTTAATGTTCTATATACGAATAGATGTAAATAGATTTTGATCAAATCAATCTTTAAGTTTTATTTAAAAATCCTAATAGTAAATAATTACTTTTATTTCGATAGAAGAAAAACAAAACGTCTTCTAGTGGTGATAATAATATTGTCCACCGTTTGAATGCTCTTAAACAACAAAATAAATCATTTAAAACTGTTAAGGTCGAGTTGCAGAAAAGAAATATGAACAATGTTTGAAACGATTAAATGTAACAAATAAACAAAATCATATAAATACGGATAGTCAAATTCGAAAACAAAAACTTCAACCGAATAGACAAACAATTGGAGCTATTGATAATGTTCCACAACTTATTCTAAGTTTTTTTAAATATCGAATGCAGGCTCCCGATTGTTTTTGGGAGTAGGAAGAGGGGGGGGGGGGGGGCTAAAGATATGACAGAAATGAAATCGACTTTCTGCGAGAAATTTCACAGAAAGCATTTTTAGTTTAATTTCATTCCAGCAAATGCAGGAGTTTCCTGTTGAACTGAACTGAACTTTAAAAAATTCCGTAGAAAGTCCCAGGTAGGGAAGAAAATGGTAAAATAGCATTAAAATGCTTTCAAACTTACATAATTATAAAGATGTAAAACGGTCACAAAAAATACTTTTCATTTGATATATTAAAATGATTATAAAAATGATCATTTTAATATATCAAATGAAAAGCATTTTTTGTGACCGTTTTATATCATTATAATAATATTTCTTTTAATATTTATTTGTTCAGACTTAATTCGTTTCAATAGGTTTGCATTTTAATTCCTCAGAAAATGATATATTTTATATATATATATGTTTATACATATTATTCACCATTCTCGAGGCACTTCAAATTAATAATCCAAAATAATCAATTTCCTAACATAACTTTATCATTTTTATGATTAAGTTTCTGCATAGGTTTTTCTTTTGATGCTATTTTTCTTAACTAAGACAATCAAATAGTTCAATGTATTCAAATCTGAGCTAATTTAGATCTGAATATATATTGAACGATTTAGTTTGGAACGAATTTCTACATTTTCGCAATTAGAAAAAATAGCATCAAAAGAAAAACCTATGCTAAAACTTAATCATAAAAATGACAAAGTTATATTATGGTGCCTTTATTCTTGTCTATAGTACTGGAATATTTTTTTCGTAAAGAAGAAACCACAGATATATTCATGACTGTACTATTTGCTGAGAAACAGAGCGAGAACA